TCTCTCTCTCTCTCTCTCTGTATCTCTCTCTCTGTCTGTGTGTGTGTCTCTCTCTCTCTGTATCTCTGTCTCTGTCTCTCTGTCTCTCTCTCTCTCTCTGTCTTTCTCTCTGTCTGTCTGTCTGTCTGTCTCTCTCTCTCTCTCTGTATCTCTCTGTCTCTGTCTCTGTCTCTCTCTCTCTGTCTCTCTCTGTCTCTCTGTCTCTCTCTCTGTCTCTCTCTCCGTCTCTGTCTGTCTCTCTCTCTGTCTCTCTCTCTCTGTCTTTCTCTCTGTCTGTCTGTCTCTCTGTCTCTCTCTCTCTGTCTCTCTCTCTCTCTCTGTCTCTCTGTCTCTCTCTCTCTTCTCTCCTTTTCATAGACAGAATCCACTTTATCAGGGTACCCTAATAAACTGCTTTGAGGAATCCCCTTTATCAGAACGTTCTGAATACATGGTTAATAAAATGACCTTCCTGTCTCGGTCTGTCCCATTGGGAACTATGGATGGCGAGGCAACCAGCCTAGGAAGCCATATCTGGCCTTGGCTACTTACCCAGAGTTTTGGGAGTAACCTTCCAGGAGACCGTTTTCCTTCCGTCCACAGGCAAACAATAGGAAGCCTGTTCCTTTTCCACAGGGGCAGCGTCGTAGTCAGGAGAAAGCAACAGCGATACGCTGACCTGTAAACAGCCAGAGAGGACTTAGAAGGAGAAGACCACCACCACCTCACGGACTCACAGGACAAGGAGGAAGAGGAGATGAATGCCACACAAAAGGCCAGATGGGACTCAAGCAAATGTGGAGAATCTGAGCCCTTCCCAAATCTGGTTGAACTACAATTCCCAGCAGCACTGGATAGCAGTTAACTCTGAGGGAGGATGGGAAGGGTAATTCAACAATATCAATCCTAAATGGCGTGAATAGAGGGATAGAACCAAGATCACACGAAGTACTAAATAGATAGATAGATAGATAGATAGATAGATAGATAGATAGATAGATAGATAGATAGATAGATAGATAGATAGATAATGATAGATAGATAGATAGATAGATAGATAGATAATGATAGATAGATAGATAGATAGATAGATAGATAGATAGATAGATAGATAGATAGATAGATAGATAGATAGATAGATAGATAGATAGATAGATATAGGTAGGTGGGTAGGTAGGTAGACACAGACAGACAGACAGACAGACAGGTAGGTAGGTAGGTAGGTAGGTAGGTAGGTGGGTAGGCAGGCAGGCAGGCAGACAGAGACAGACAGACAGACAGACAGGTAGGTAGGTAGGTAGGTAGGTGGATGGATGGATAGATAGATAGATAGATAGATAGATAGATAGATAGATAGATAGATAGATAGATAGACAGACAGACAGACAGAAAGACAGGTAGGTAGATATGTAAGTAGATAGATGGATGGATGGATGGATGGATGGATAGGTAGGTAGGTAGGTAGGTAGGAAGGTAGGTAGATAACCTTTACTGTCATTTTTTACTGTGGGCACAATGGCACACATTAAAAATGAAATTTAGTTGCCCGCTCTCAAAGTGTCCACATACATAACACACATTTAAACATACTATATATGCAACATTTGTATAGACTAGCACTGCTTTAGAAAGCCTTAGTAAGACC